ATACTCACCAATTCGAGTGGTTCAATAGTTCTACTCCTTCTTTTGTAGAAGTCCTGCTGTGGATTTCTGGAGAAGAATTTGAGTCCGTCCAATTGCTTGGGAATCCGAGCGATTGCTGATACTTACGCATGTCGGAATCTTCTTCACTGCGCTAGCAAATATATATTGCATATCTTCCAGGTTGGTATTTTGTCGTTCTAAGCTCAACGTCAGCTTACTCTATCCCGATTTTTTAGCACGTTGTTGGTACTGAGCAGTTTTACCAACTTACTGCTAATCAGCTAATTGAGCTCATCTCAAGTGATCAGCTTAATATCCGATCAGAAGAAAAGGTGTGGAGATTGATATTCGAAAATATGAGATCGTATTCCTGTTTTTTCCTATTCAGCCCTCACTTATCTGTTTGAATCATGGACGAGCATTCTTCTAGGTTTTCGAAGCTGTGCTTCAGTGGGTTAGATTCGATCCATCAGTACGGGAGCAATTCCTTCCACAAGTAGGTTTACGTTCTTTTACAATGTTTTCGAAGTGTTCACTGGTTTTGCAGTTGTTGGAGCACGTACGACTCCCACTTTGTTCCCCCAAGTTCCTCGCCGAAACAGTCAGTGAAGACGCGTTAGTGAAGGCGGACGAGGCCTGCCGAGATCTTCTCGATGAAGCAAAGGTTATTGTAGTTTCTACAGCAAAATAGTAGTACAAAATACATCAAAAAACATGAACCTTCTCAGAATCGAGAAGCAATGAAGCTTCTTCTCAGAGATTTCCACGACGGTAGATAATACGATAGAACATCTATTGCACGGCGGAGGGAGAGCTCATTAATCAGGGTCACAATCCTCCATTCTTCGGAATTCCAAACACTTGTGCTGTTGTGTGTCCGACGACAGATATGACCCGTAAATATGCCTTTTAGGGGCACATTCTATTAACAGAAATTATGAACTGTCTACTCAACTTAGGGCACATCATTGGTCGGGGCTTTTGTTCGTATCCGTACACCCCCCCCCCCTCCC